ACTTCTTTATTGTTTATAGCGTCATTAATAAATCATAGCTGTACCTTATTTGCATGTGATCTTTTACAAGGTGGCTTTTGCAGAGAGTCCTTAATGGAAGCTTTGGTTTGGAGGAGCAGCGGTGTGGATCATAGTGCTTTCCTCTCTTCTCAACTTGCTGTTTGAGCCACAAAACACCTTGTTCACCCATCGAAGGATCCACGAGAGCAGACATTTTCGTTCATCCATTCAGACATGCATGCAGTATCGTGGAATGCCTCCTTTGGCGCAGACCTTGTCAGAGAAAGGGCCCACTGGTTTACCCACGTTGTCAGCTGCTTGCCCTTAGCACCTTCCTGAGCACTGGCCACGTGTAGGCTCCAAACCCGCTGGACGGGTGCTCCGTCCTTGTTGAGGGGATGAACGAGTTACTGTTCTCTTTTCTGCATTTCTGTGCCTGCCCCTCTCCCTTAGAGCCATCTCTCATTCCCTTCTAGCTCATCCTTACCTTAACCAGCCTGGACCATGATTACTGCATTAATTAAAATTAGCTCTCCCTCTGTAGAAAAGGAAAACCAAAATAACAGGGACTTAAACAAGAAAGAAGTTTACTGTCTTCTCACATACAAGAAGATAGGACACAGGCAACGCAGTGCTGGAGAGGGGGCTGCCTGGGCTCCTGGAGGCTGCTGCCCTTGTCTTAGGACCCAGGCTGGCTGCTACAGTTGCATCCATTGAAGCCATCCATTCTTGCTTCAGGTGGCAGGATGCAGGAGGCAGAGAATAGGAACAGTGTCCCTTCCGTGTTCAGGAGACTCTCTGGAAGTAACGCTCGAAGCTACGCACATCTTCTTCGGCAGAATTCATCTTAGGACCCTGTCTTGCTGCAAGGGAGTCTGGGAGATGTAACATGCCCAGTAAAACAAAAAAACAAAGCAAGGATAAAGAAACCCCTCAGGATTCTGTTCTACAGTAGAAGAGAAAGGATTTTGGGAGGCAGTTAGCGGTCTCTGGAAAAATCCTTCATTCTGGTGTTGCCCAAAGAAATATCCCGGATTCCCTTTCCCTTTGGACATGTTATTTTGCCATTCCCAAACCAGCATGCTTCCCCCTCCTGCTTGTTTGCTCCGACTCCTGTGCCCACTCCTGCTTCTCGCCAGAATGGCTGGGAAAGACTTCAGTCACCGACGGAGCTGACGTCTATACCTGCTAGCCAACCTCACTGGATTTCTGTTTTTAAATTGTGGATTGTCAGCTCCTGGAACCCATTCCTTACAGCAGAATTACTTCTGCATTCCCCAGGGCCTTGGATTCCATATTTTCCCCCTCACTTTCTTATATGGTAAGGAGCCATACTGAAAAAAAAAAAAATGTTGCCATCGACGACAGCAACCCTATAGGACAGAGCAGAACTGCCCCATAGGGTTTCCAAGGAGCAGCTGGTGGATTGGAGCTGTCAGCCTCTTGGTTAGCAGCAGAGCTCTTAACCACTGTGCCACCAAGGCTCCCCCCGCCTCAGTTTCCACATTTCATGGGTATCTACGATGAGTCTTCCCAGGCCTCAGTCTCAGAACCTAGTCTTATCAATAGAATGGAAGCCTGATGAGGGAGGAGTTTATTCTTCTGTTCAGTGCTGTCTGCAGCAGAGCCTGAGAAAAGGATACTGTGTGCTCTGTAAGGAGTCCCTGGTGGTGCAAATGGTTAAGCGCTTGGCTGCTAACTGAAAGGTTGGAGGTTCAAACCCACCCATAGGTACCTAGGAAGAAAGACCTGGTGATCTGCTTCCAAAAGGTCACGGCCTTGAAAACCCTATGGAGCTCAGTTCTCTGACACACGTGGGGTTGGTTGCATGAGTCTGATGGCAACTGGTTGGGTGGTGTTCCATAAATATATATCTCCCTTCTTTCTTTTACTTCTCTCGCCTACTTAGAATATAATAAGGAATGTTCTGTATTTAAAATACTTCGTTGCCTTATTTTGTGTTTCTCACATTTTACTTTTGAAGAAGAGACGTCCATACCTCCTTCTTAGTTCCCTCATGGTGTGCTGATTCCTTGGTCTCCTTACTATCTGGAATTTCCAGATTTCCCTTTGAGAATTTTTCCCCTCCATTGGCCTTTTCTCATGGTTTTTTCCCTCTGAGTCCTGTAGCATGCTGGGCTGTTGACCAAAGTGTCTTGGAAGTGTCCTCTTAGTGCTTCTCCTTTTCCTTCTGCACTTCCTTTGCGGCTCCTCCTGCTCTGCGGTGGTGAGCAGACACTGGGATTTTCCCCTGTCCTGTTCTTTTCTCTCTCTGCCCTTTCTTTGCTGTATCTCAGCTGCTATGCTACGCTTTTACCTTCATCTATTCCCTCTCTACGGGCGATTCCCAGATTTACATAAACTGCTCTTGCATTCCTGTTGTTAGGTGCCCTTGAGTCGGTTCTGACTCATAGTGACCCCATGTACAAACAGAATGAAACGCTGCCCAGTCCTGCACCATCCTCACAATCCTTGTTATGTTTGAGCCCATTGTTGCAGCCACTGTGTCAGTCCGTCTCATTGAGGGTCTTCCTCTTTTTCGCTGACCCTCTACTTTACCAAGCATGATGTCCTTCTCCAGGGACTGGTCCTTCCTGATAACATGTCCAAAGTATGTGAGACAGAGTCTTACCATCCTAGCTTCTAAGGAGCACTCTGCCTGTACTTCTTGCAAGACAGATTTGTTTATTCTTCTGGCAGTCCAGGGTATATTCAGTATTCTTCACCAATACCATAATTCAAAGGCATCAGTTTTTTGGTCTTCCTTATTCTTGTCCAGGTTTTGCATGCAATGCAAAGGAGGCAATTGAAAACACCATGGCTTGGGTCAGGCACACCTTAGTCCTCAAGGTGCCATCTTTGCTTTTAAACACTTCAAGGGTGTCTTTTGCAGCAGATTTGCCCAATGAAATATGTTGTTTGGTTTCTTGACTGCTGCTTCCATAGGTGTTGATTGTGGATCCAAGTAAAATGAAATCCTTGTCAACTGCAATCTTTTCTCCGTTTATCATGATGTTGCTTATTGGACCAGTTGTAAGGATTTTTGTTTTCTTTATGTTGAGATGCAATCCATACTTGAGGCTGTAGTCTTTGATCTTTATCAGCAAGTACTTCAAGTGCTTTTCATCAAGCAAGGTTGTATCATCTGCATACTGCAGGTTGTTAATGAGTCTTCCACCAATTCTGATGTCATGTTCTTCTTCATATAGTCCAGCTTCTCAGATTATTTATTCAGTGTACAGACTGAATAAGTGTGGTGAAAGAAGGATACAACCTGATGTACACCTTTCCTGACTTTAAGCCACACAGTATCCCCTTGTTCTGTTTGAACAACTGCCTCTTGGTCCATGTACAGGTTCCTCATGAGCACAATTAAGTGTTCGGAATTCCCATTTTTGACAGTGTTATCCATAATTTGTTATGATCCACACAGTCGAATGCCTTTGCATAGTCAATAAAACACAGGTAAACATCTTTATGTTATTCTCTGCTTTCAGCCAAGATCCATCTGACATCAGCCATGCTATCCCTGTTTCCACGTCCTCTTCTGAATCCGGCTTGAGTTTCTGGCAGTTCCCTGTTGATGTACTGCTGCAACTGTTTTTAAATTATCTGCAGCAAAACTTTACTTGCATGTGACATTGATGATATTGTCAGCAGTTTCCGCATCCTGTTGGTCACTGCTGAATGCCCTGCCACCTACACGTTAGGTCTGACATTCGTCATGTTAGTATTCTGGTCTTAGGTTCCAGTCACTAGCATCGTTTCTCATCATGGAAACCCGAATGGGAAAGGACGGCAGCCTCGTGTGTTGTTTTCCTTCCTGGAAAGCCCTTTCCTTTATTTTACCCAACTTTTCCCTTTTTTAAGATCAAGCTCAAACGTGTACATTTCACAGCACAGTGACTTCTAGGATGACGCAGACCTTGCTGACTCCCTGGCCTGATCTCTGCCATCCCCATCTATCACTGTGTCTGGCGCTCTTCATATACTTGTTGGTATTGTTGAAACCACTGTCTCTATTACACATGTCTTATCTGCAGATAGCCTGTGATCTTATTCCTCTTTCCTCCCAGGGCCTGGTGTATAATTGGCACTTAATAATGTTTGCTGTCAATGCTGGCATCCCCTTTTCATTTCACTATCTTGTTTCATTGGTAACAGTGAGATTGCACAGGAAACAATTTTTCTTATCAGCAGACAAATATTTCTTTTCCATAACTGTGAAGGGGAGTGCTTGGACGGAGCCCACTGACAGATTTTCAGCAACCTGATTGCACTTCGCTTTGCACTGTTTGAAGTGCGTTATCACAGGGGTGGAGTGATGTCTGGAAAAGCATCTTTTCTCCTCTTTCTTAGTCTCCTGTGTTTTGAGTGTCATCTGAAAACCTGGGGTAGGAGTCATGAAGACAGCTGGTAGGATTTTGTGAAACCACATACAGAGTTTTGCATTGGAAAGTTCAAGAAGGGTTGGGGCAGGGGTGGAGAGGAGACGAAGAATATGAATGAACGAGGGTGAGAATGAATGTGTAACTGCCCACTCACCCAGCCCCACACCGCGTAGTGAATGACATGAGGATGATTTAAGACAAGCCAGGTCGCAGAGGAGCTGCGTTGGTAGACATATCCATAAAGACAGTAACGCGCATCACCTCAGGAGCGTTGCCGTTAAACAACAGAGAAACAATTCCCCACTTGACCCCCTGCAAGAAGCAGCTTACCCAGTGCCTCTGTAATACAGTAATGTGATAGACATTGACAGTATATATGGTGTGTATATATGTTTATAACATTGACAGTACATATTGTCTGCATATAGACATTAAGTAGGTTCAGTTAATCTATGACATCTTTTAAAATCAAGGTACGGGAAATTAGCTGTGGTTGAAATGTAGCTGTGTAGATTGAAATCCTGTACCAGGAGGTTATGATTCTAGAACAAAATTAGGGGAACAGAGACCCAGTTCACTCACTTGTTTTCACGTTTTTTGTTTCTATAGGGAATTTGAAGTACTGCCTTTTGATTCTCAATCAGCCTTTGGACGACTGTTTTCGTCGTCTTTGGAGCAAAGGTAACCTTAATTAGATTTTATAATTCTTTGCTTTCTTTCTTTATTTGGGACAGGCTAACATTAAGTACCCCGAAACCTGACTGTAACACAAAAAAAGTGGGATTTGTAATAAGGTATTCAATTACTGAATTATCAGAAGAATCCATTATTGCTTCTCTGTTAACCTGTTTCATATATGTGATTACCACAGCATGGTTGCCCAGGGCAGAATTATAATGTGGCATCCTCTACTGTATTTTGGAACTAATGTGTGGATATTAATCCTCAGCACACAACAAGCATTTGCTCAAGTGAAAATATATTTGGCAGGAGTGACAGCAGAAAGCCTCCACACGCCTTACCCGTCACAGCGTATCCCTTAGTGACGTCTGCAGGGTGACCACGTTTGCAAAATGGAAAAAGAAGACATGTGGCCAGTACATGTTGCCATGGCAACATTCCAGCATCTCTGGGATTGCTGAAAAATATAGTTAAAAACGGGACAGTTTCAGAGAATTAAGACTTCTCGCGGGTCTCATTTAAGAAACAGTTTTTATTAGCTATTTATTTATATTATTCTTTGATCGGATAGGATTGTTAGCACTTGGTTAGAAAATTATATTAAATCTAATTTATTGTTTTTAGCCTCCACTCTTTTATGAAATCTGGAGATACCAGAGGACTCCTTCTTCTTTTTGTTAATTATTATTACTTTTATTTTTCTAAAAGGGATGCTTCTGCTGAGTTACCAGCGTAAGTTCTAGGCCAGACCAGAGGGCTGGAAGAACGTGCTGCTTTCTGCAATGGTGCACGTTCCTGCTGCTACTCCTGATCCTCTCGGGATCGCAGAACTAGTCCAGCAGTGTTCGCTGCATTAAGGTACCGAGTCCTAGGATGGAAACCTGTTGTGTTAACAGGCTCACTCCCATCTAAGTACATACAGACGGGACTCGGGATTAAAGTTATGCGATGTTTAATGTGTTTTCCCTTTTGTATGTATATCAGCATGAGATTTTCTTGCTTATGAGTCTTTCTTGGCATATTCAGTTTAATCTGGAATCTAAGTAGTTAGATGCATTTTTGCTGCCTAGCTTTTCTGTGACTCTCAGAGGTTATTGGTGTTTGTCAATGGATATTGCCCTCAGATTTCTTAGCTTTTTTTGTTTGTTTGTTTTTGAGGCCGATGTTCCCATCCCAGTAACTTTTTCTCAGGCTGAATACGGTGATGAGTAGAAACATAGTGTTTGAAGGGCCCTGCTTGTTTCTTGTTATGGGTCAGCTGCCCTCAGCGTGGGGACACCATGCCCCCAGGGTCCTCCAAGGTCATAGTGGACATCTCCGAACTACATGGAGTTAAATAAAAAAAGCTAACAGATAGACCTTTCCCTCGGGTAAGGTTGTGTAGATTGACTGCATGTCAGCTTTCTAGGAGGTCGGCTGCTTCCTAAACTGTCTCCTCATATTCACACGCGTTCACAGCCTCTCCCTGGTGTGTTTGTATGAGTCACAGACGGCCGCGATCGTGTGGATTAGACCGTGTCAATGCCCTGTGGGTATCTGCGCCGTGAGACTGCTTTCCTCCAATCAGAAATTCTTTTCCTTCACTGATGTCTTTCTCCTTCAGTTCTCTGTTGTCCAGTGTTAAGGTCCCCCAGGGGGTGGGCAGCAACTTGGTTCATCTGGGTTGAGGCCAATCATCAGGCGGGGCTCATGGGAGAAGGAGGCCCAGGTGCCGACTCTGAGGTCGTGGCATTGAATGTGAACAAGCTCTTTGGTTTTCTAACACCAGGCCTCTTCCTGTGTTGCCTTGGTGATCAACTGGTGTGAAGAAGTACTTGGCATGAATGTAGCTTCCAGGGATTCACTGGTTAGGACTGCATGGGTAGACAGAATATCATGTGGGTCTTTTCCTTTAAGTGCGCCCAGGCAAAGACCGAGCAGGTCACTACTTCAGCTGGGAGACGCTTCATGAGCATTTGCTGGGCAAAGGCTTTCTAGAGCATGTTAGTTAGGGTGGTCCTGTGGGAGGCGTCTTTCTAGCAATGAGTGCCTCAGTCATTAGACTACAGAATCTGGTGATAGTGTGACTTATCACAGTTTTATTGAACTACCAAATTGACTCTGTTTGTGTCATTTTCTATGGTTATGGCTTCAGAGAACTTATGCTTTGAGCACACTCTGAGTCAACGGAAGATCTGATGAGCCATTTGCATACTCAGTTCAGGTCCATTGAGCAAAGTGGCATGTACAAGGTGCGGTCTCTCTAAGTAAGGCTGGCGGAGAAGTCTGTTCCCCGGCATGCAGAAACAGCTGGGGATGACGAGCTTGCTGGAGGACACAGACGTTACTGTCTTACTGACACTGATAGCCTGCTTCTCCCTCCCTCCTCCTGTCATGCTCGTATTTTTACCTCCTTTTCTGTCACTTTTACCTTCTTAGCAACTTACTCCCTTTCTGGGCTTTCTTCACCGATCCACTCACCACCCCACCTACCCACGCGTCCATCTGTCCGTCCGTTCAGTGCCTTTGTTCATCTGTTTCTCTTCTCCCTTTCTCTTCTCTGTCTTGTGTTCTGTTAGTTCCTCCCCTGTAGTGTTCTAGACCACATCTGTCGTGTTCACCACGCCATCCCCAGCCCCTCTCACTGCTGTAGGGAGGGACACACACAGGAGATGCTTGCTGGATGAAGGCTTGGGAGCTGGCCGTAATTTCAAGGTACTTCCAAATCCGTGTCTCAAAGCCCTGGCGTTCTGAAAAAGTTTTAATTTTACATTGTTGACTGTTGGTAGACTTTTATATATGGGTGCACAAGCCAAATAATCACCTAAAAATGTTCAAAACCCAACTTTTTCTCTTCCTTTGGTAGTGGGCTCTTCCTCATGCCTCCCTCGCACATTTCTGCCAGGAGTAACCCTATTTTCCAGTCCAGAGGCCGGGCACAGTGCATCATTTGTAAGCTGTCTTCTCCTCTATCCCGACATCAAGTTGCTTTCCAAATCTACACTCCCTCTCATGGCCCCGTCTGCACCCAAACGTCTCTTTAATTTCTCTTCAGCCCTACTTCGGGTTCACTCTGGCTAAAAGCTTTTTTTAAAACAATTTAATTTTTTTGTGAAAATATTCACAGCAAAGGATATATCATTTCACCAAATTCTACAGGCACAGTTTGGTGACATTGCGTACTTTCTTCAAGTTGTGTGACTGTTCTCACTATTCTTTTCCAGATTATTCTACCACCGTTAACGTAAAGTCACTGCCCTCTAAGCTTCTCATCTAACTTTTTGAGATGCTGTTGTTAATTTGATCCCACATAGATCAGTCTTTGAGAGAGCACAATGATCAAGGCAGACACACTTTACTAATTAGGTTAAACTGTTGTTTGATTCATAGCAGACTTCCGGGACAAGTTTTGATTTGAGGTTTAAGGTTTAAAGATGATCTCAGGGAATTAATTTGAGTTTTCATCCAGCTGAATGGCTTCAGAAGGATTGGATTCCATTGGAAGTTTGAAATGCTGTTGTTTTTTCCCCCTTTTGATCTAGATTCTTCTACAGAATCTTAGATCCAAACGCTCAGTAATGGTAGCCGGGCACCATCCAGTTCTTCTGTTCTCATGGCCAAGGAGGCATTTGTTCATGGAGGTGGCATTTCCTCCTTGATGCCTGCGTCTCTTCTTCCTCTGCTGCTCCAGGTGACTGGAGACCTGCTGTAGCTTGGATGGCTGGTGCAAGCTTGACTAAAAGCTTCTTGAGTGTGTGCTGCCCACTGAGTGACGTAGAGACTTTGCGGAGCTCTCCTGGCTGTCTGAGGCTGTAGGGGTTAAACATGTCTGGGCTTCAGTAGCTGTGTGATCGTGGGCAGAGTACTTCAACTAAGTGTGAACGTCTTCACCTGTGGTCATAGCAGTGGTGGCAGTCACAGTGGTATAGTTAGTGGCGGTAACGCTTACCCCGTTGGGTGGTGAAGGTGAAGTGGGGTGAGACATGTCACGTGTTCAGTAAATGTTAGCTTGCTGAGTTGCATAAACTAGTGAGTTACCAATACTTTAATTCCCTCTGTGCCCTCCAGCCCCCATCGAAACTTGAGGAAAAGTGCTCTCCTAGTGATGAAGAACGTTGGGGGCCTTTGGAAACATCAAGCCACGCTCACTCTCCCCAGTACTTGTGTCTTTACTTTCCCTTGCTTTGTGTGACTGGCGGCGGCTCTGTGCCTCCATTTTAGTAATTATGTTCCTGTTTTGGACGGCTGCACCCCCCAAAAAAAAAACACTGCACCCCTGGGTGTGTCTCTTATTTCCTTGTCTGACCTGCCACCATGCTGTCCACCCTCTGCCCACTGCCGTTTGGCCTGGAGCTGAATCTTGCTGTTGTGTGCCATTGAATCAATCCTGACTCCTAGTGACATTATAGGACAGAATGGGATTGCCCCATAGGGTTTCCCAGGCTATAATCTTTACAGAGCAGTTTACCAGGTCTTTTCTCCTGTGGAGCAGGTGGATTTGAACTGCCAACCTTTTGGTTAGCAGCTGAGTGCTTAACCATTGCACCATCAGGGTTCCTTATTTAAAGCTAAGCTTAAGCTTGGCTACTAACTGAAAGGTTGGAGGTTCAAACCTAAACAGAAGCACCTCAGAAGAGAGGAAGAAAGGTCTGGTGATCTATTTCTGAAAAATGAGCCATTGAAAACCCTGTGGGGCACAGTTCTACTCTGACACACATGGGATCGCCATGAGTTGACGACAGCTGATTTGTTTTTGGTTTGGGATGTCTTTAGACCCTCAGACACCCTGATGGTTGGGCAGGAAGAAAGGCGGTGGGGGATTCAGGCAGGTGTGATTTTATTTATAATTGTAATACTCTAAGGGTTACGCCTCTCCCTTTCTTTAAGATTAAGTTCACGCACGTTTCTGAAGTAGACTGAAGGGCGAAAGGACCCTTCTTTACGTGACCTTCATATGACTATTCACATAGGAGAATGACCTGGTGTCACTATTCTCTCCCTGTTGGTGGGCGCTCGCGGGT